GGGCTTCTTCTTCTTCCTCCTCCTCCCAAAGAACTTCGAGTGCGTCAGAATACGCATGAGACGATAGACGCAACGGGATTTTGATTTGTCGATGGAGAGGGCGTCGACTAATTGATCAAGAGACATTGGTTTGCCATGTTTGTGGATGATATCTGGTATGCCTAATTGGATAGCGCATTTGAGGGACATTGAATTTAAGTAGTTGAAGATGAAGTTCCACACATGAGCTTGAGCATCAAAAAGCTCCTGTGACGATGGATTATTACTTGGCGATGTCATTTTAATTGTTTTTGATCCAAATGTTAATGCAGCACTACTTAATTAGTTTGTTGTTATTATTAGTTATTACACCTATATATTGATTTCATGTGCTATTTTCTATTTTTTATTGGGTGTGTGTTTCGTTGGAGTTCTGACCAATTCTATGTCATTTGGAATTATTGAATTATTACTGAACCAGTTATGACCGATAATAACAATTCTTTGAAGATGCCTCAAATTTGATTGGCTTCAATGGAGTGGAGTCAACACCAAATACAACTTCATATCCAATGTATTTAAATAATCATAATTTTTTCACGTAATCAACGTGATTAAATAATTATACAAAAAGCTTTCAAAAATTTAGTCATAAGCCAACTGCATTTTCTATATTTATTTAAATAATATAGTACCATGAACACATTGCAGGATGTGACATCTAGAAAGAAGCAGTTTCCCACTAAAATAAGAGAGGGTGGGGTTATTTTATTAGTAAAAAAACAATTACTTGTCTACCATTATTTCGCATCTTTTGTTGGAATCTAGGCGGGTCTAAGTGTGTTGTACGTGTCTAGTTAATTATATGGGTTTTTCTTTTATATATATATTGAATTTGGTTTATTTATCGGAGTATAATATTACAAATTGAAGAGTAATTATTACAAATTCAACACAACAAAAGTTGAATTAAAAAAATAAATGTTGGCGCCATATTTCCGACTATTGAAGATCGAGGAAATCCGCCAAGTTTTGGAATTAAAAGATTGGCAAAGATTTGTTTTCCATATTTATTTTGGAATTTATTAGAGTCCTATTCTTATAAACTTCTATTAGGACTTAGATTTATTTCCATGTATTTCATTCTAGTTAGGTATCTTTTGTACTTATCTAGAATAGAAGTAGAAATCAACTAGGATTCTATTACCTAGTTAAATAGATTTCTTGGGGTTCAAGTTAGGTCTTAGGGCTTATTTTCGTGGCTATATAAGCCTCCAAGACATACAAGAACCGTGTGCATTATTTGGGAGAAAAACCTCTTCATAGCATCGAAGTTTTGCCAAGGCGTTCTGCGGAGCAGGACTGTGCCGTCGTTGCACTGTGCCAACATATACAGATTTGCTGTATAGATCTCAAGGGAGATCAGCCGCGTTTTCTGAAGGGAGTTCAGGCTTGAAGAAAGTTCAAGGCACGCGGGTGGAGCTGCTGTTGGAAGAAACACGAAGTTCGAGTTGTGTACAAGAACGGCATATTACATAAAGAGGGAGTCTTTAGTGTTTTTAATAAGTCCTATTAATGTACACTGTAAATCTGAACTAGTGAAATCGTGTTTGCAGGTCCACGTGGATGTAGGGCACATTTGTGTCTGAACCACATTAATTTCTTGTGTTCATTTATTTGCTTTAAGTAGTTTATAACTGTGTTAACACAAGAATTATAGTTGTAACTGAATACTGTTTCCACAACTTGACTGTTACAACTTAGGTTAATTGATTTCTATAGGCATATAAATCAACAATTGGCATCAAGAGCCTCTCACTAGATAAACATAGTGTGTGATTTTGGGAATTTGATTTATTTGCCATTTTCTTCCATAGGTACTATGAATGCTCATATGGAAGGCGGTTCCACGACTCGCCCACCACTGCTTACTGGAACCAATTACTCTTATTGGAAGACCAAGATGAAGATGTTCATCAAGTCAATGGATGAAGATGCATGGCGCACAGTTCTGACTGGCTGGAAACGACCTGTTGCCACAGATGAAAAAGGAATTCAAACTGAGAAACATGAAAAAGACTGGAGCAAAATTGAACAGATTGCCGCAAATATGAATTCCAAAGCATTGAATGCCATATTCAATGGAATTGATATCAATCAATTCAAAATCATCTCAGCATGTGAGTGTGCCAAGGAAGCATGGGAAAAACTTCAAACAGCCTATGAGGGGACTACCTCTGTTAGATTATCAAAACTTCAGATGCTTGCTACTCGTTTTGAGGATCTTCGGATGGAGGAAACTGAAACCGTGAGCGATTTCAACTCCAAATTATGCGACATCGCAAATGAAGCCCATGGCCTCGGTGAAACTTACCCTGAAGTAAAACTTGTTCGTAAAGTGCTGAGATCTATGCCAGACCGGTTCGCATATAAGGTCACTGCTATAGAGGAAGCAAGTGATGTGGACTCATTGCGGCTTGAAGATCTGATCGGAAATCTACAGACCTTTGAAAACAAGCTGAACATCAGTAGAATGGATAAAGAGAGAAAAATCGCTTTACAAACAGTGTCTGTTGTGACACCATCCGTGCCCTCAGCTCCCATGACAGCACTCGAAGTCAAGCTAACAAAATCCATGTCTCTAATAGCCAAAAACTTCGGAGAACTCGTGAAAATGAATGGACATCCCAGAAGTCCTACAAACAAGCGAGAAGTTAGAAAGGGGATTCGATGTAGAGAATGTCGTGGCTATGGTCATATTCAATCTGAATGTGCAAACACTCAGAAGAAGCAAGGAAAATCACTTGCTACAACCTGGAGTGACGATAACCTTGAATCTGATGATGAAAGTGAAGCAAGTGATGCTGAAACTAGTATTGACTTCTGTGGTACATGCAGGGTTACTGACGTGACACAAGATGTTGTCACATGCACTGAACCACCACACCTCAGGTATGTTACTCGTAATCTCGAGAGTCATAGAAATTTAAACACAATTTTTTTGCCCACAGGAGAAGAAGATTCAGAGGATGATGAAGAATGCTCCATTGAGATGATTCAACAGCAACTGAATGATCTTCTAAAGCAATGTCATGAGGTTAGTGATGAAAACAAGCGTTTGAAGGAGAAAGTAAAGGAACTGGAAGAGGAGAATGAAGCAGTTAAAGTCAACCTGAAGGCCAAAATCGATGAGCTTGAATTGGAAAATGAGGCACTGGAGGTAAAACATGATTTTGCTTTGAAAGATATTGACAATCTAAAAGAATTGTTGAGACATTTGCGAAACAACGATTGCAATAAGACAAGGCAAATCAAGAAAAATCCTCATTCAATGAAAAATGTTGAACCCTGCCTCAACCTGAAGTGTGACAACTCCCCTGTCGCAACAACGTTAGAGGCGTCAGTCAGTAAGTTAAATCGCACTACGATTCTTCCTTCAAAAAGGTTAGATGAAATTTTAAATGCTCATCCCTCAAATCCTGATAAACTTGGTCTTGGCTATATTGGGAGTAAGTTCGATGGTAAACCTAATCCAAATCGAAAAATTAATTTTGTGAATAATACTGTCAAACCTACTTCACAACATGTTGCCTCACAGTCTTATACAAAAAAGTTTGTGCCAACTTGTCATTTCTGTCACAAAGTAGGACATGTTAGGCCAAAATGCTTTAAAAGATGGAAATTGATAAATAAGAGTTTAGCATATCAATCATCCAATTCCGCTGCATGGGATCACAATTCCCAAAGAAGATACTCTGATAATAAATGGATGAATAAGTATAATGCAAACTGCTTTCCTGCTATTCTTTCTTTAAAAGCATGTACTACGAACTCTTGGTATTTTGATAGTGGTTGCTCCAAGCATATGACAGGTGTACCTAATTACTTGAAGAACCTGCATAATGTGTCTGGTGGACAAGTTACTCTTGGTGATGGAAACAAGGCCTTTGTGAAAGGAGAAGGTAACTTGGATGTTGGAGGATTACCTAACCTTGACAACGTTCTGTATGTAGAGGGTTTGAAATCAAACCTACTCAGCGTAAGTCAGCTATGTGATCTATACGACTCAGTGTTGTTCACCAAGCGTAAGTGTGAAGTGTTTGATCGAAACCACAGGTGTGTTCTATCTGGTTATAGATCCTCTGATAATTGTTATAAAATTGATCAAACTGACCAAGTTGAACAGTGTCCCCTCACCACCTCTGATATCACAGATATGTGTTGTCATCGACTGGGGAATTTGAACTTTCAGGATCTAACACGAAATATCAATGCAGGTTGTGTGAAAAGTGTTCCCCAACTAAACTCCAATACACCAGATTTATATGGCGACTTTCTAATGGGGAAGCAAACTGAGAGCATTGGAAGAGAAATACCAGAAGACAAAATCACAGAAGTATCAGTGCCGACATCTGATGTCACAACTGAAGACGTTACCACTGGTAAAGAAGGTATGAAAACTTGCAATAAGCTGAAGGTTGACTACCAGGAAATGGTCAGGTATGTCTATTTCACTTCCACTGTAGAACCAAAAAACATCAAAGAAGCAATTCTTGATGAATTTTGGGTGTTAGCCAAGCTTGAAGAACTTGAGCAGTTTTCTCGAAATGACATGTGGGAACTGGTTCTGAGCAATGACAAGGTAAAGCAACTAGAGGATGGTGTATTTATCTCACAGAGCAAATATGCCAAGAACGTGGTAAGTAAATTTGGGTTGCAAAAGGCAAAGCCTTTAACAACACCAATGACCTCAATTGAGAAGTTGGGACGAGATTGTGATGGCACAGACGATGATTCCACACTATACAGGAGCTTGATAGGAAGTTTGTTTTATCTTTCTGCTAACAGATATGATATTCGTTTCAGTGTAGGTATTTGTGCTAGGTACCAAGCAAGCCCTAAAGAGAGTCATTTGAGTGATGTAAAGCGCATTATCCGATATGTTAGTGGAACACCCGAATTGAGAAAATGGTATTCAAAAGATACTAACAATTGTCTTGCAGGGAACAGTGATGCTGACTGGACAGGAGATGTGGATAACAGAAAAAACATCACAGGAGGTTGTTTCTACATGGGTAACAATTTGGTATCTTGGTACAGTAAGAAACAAAATTCCATTTCCTTATCTAATGCTGCGTGTGAATACATAGCTGTAGGTAGCTGTTGCACTCAACTCTTTTGGATGCAACATATGTTAAATAACTATGGCTTAGAGTTGCATGTTCTTTGTGATAATGAGAGTGCCATAAATATTTCAAAAAATCATGCTCAGCATTCTAGGACAAAACATATAGATATTCGTCTTCATTTCATCAGACAATTAGTTGAGCAGAAACGTGTGACTATAGATTATGTGTCCACAGACAATCAATTAGCTGATATTTTCACAAAGCCCCTGGACTTCCTTAGGTTTGATTCCTTGCGTAAAGCGCTTGGAATTTGCCATGTGCAAAACTGAATTTTCTATGATAGTGCAATTAATATTTGTGTCCGTATTGCACTTGAATTTTTTAATCGGACATTATATGTGTCACCTAAATGTGACATCATTGTTTTTGGAATAGGAATGATGGGAGGTTCATTTTGACTAATTGTTTGTGTGTTAGTTTTTGTGAATTAATTTTTGTTTCCACAGTTAGCCATGATAGAAGTGTGCTGCCCCCTCTATCGGGAGTGATCAATGTCTATGACCTCATTCATCTCATAGATCATACCTATATTGGGAGAATTATGCTACCGCATATGCATTCCTGACTTCTATTTAAAAGTTATGTGGATTCTTAAGGAGGTTGCCCTCCTAATGTTGCCTGGAACCTCTGGTCCCAAAAAAAAAAAAAAAAAAAAAAGGAGGAGGAGAAAAATGGTTCGAATTCAAAAAAAAAAAAAAAAAAAAAAAAAAAAAAAAGGAGGAGGAGGATAGTCCAAATTCAATAAAAAAAAAAAAAATAAAAAAAAAAAAAGAAAAGTTGGGATGATATTCAAGCATATATTAGGAAATTCTCCTTGAAGTCCACGATCGAATTGCTGTGCTAATCGCATACGCATTCATAACCCTAAGAAAATTACATAAATTATGGTTTCTTGAGTATGGTTATGGGGTTATAGTTATATCGTGCATCCAAGAGTTTGCTCGGTGGCCTTCTATTGTGATTTTCTTTAAGATTATCAAATTAATTCATGAAAACCAAGCCCTCAACTTTTAATCTTGTGATCTTCTTGATTTTCTTTTCCTTAAAAGATGTGATTTTTTCCTGTTTTTCGTTTTAAATTTTTTTTTTGATTTTTTATATGGGCTTTGTGAATTTTTTTTGCTACTAGTTGTCTCTGGCCACGTGGCTATGGCCATGTCATCTGCCTTCTCTATTTTTTGATGTTTCGTGTGGAGAATATTTTGTTTGTTATTGGTCACACATTGTGTGATCTTCTTCTGATTTGAAAATATCCGGTATTTGAAGAGTCCTCTCTTTTTCTGCCTCTTTTCTCGGTCCTTGTGCTTTAGATATCTGCTCCTTCTAGGGTTTCTGAGTTTATTGTGGCCTCGGGCTGACTGTTGACACATGGCTGTCTTGACACGTGATCTGTTCGAATCTCTAAAGAAGCATGTGGGAATATACTTCTGTTTTATCATGATGTTTGTGGGATCTGTTATCATCCTATCTTTAGGGCTTCTAGGATTTCTCAATATTTCTTATACTCGACCTCTCTCTCCAATATCTCTCTATGTTTTTCGAAAGCTACTCGTTTCTTCTCTTTTCTGTGCTTCACAGATTTACTATGAAAAGAGACAAATCGATCGAGGGGTCTGAAATGAGGAAGCACAAACAACTGTGCATCGCCGTCCGACAAGAAGTCTGGAAACACGTCAAAGTCTGTGACGACAACAGTGGTCTCTAGAGTTCCCATCTCTCTCATGGCCACAATTCCGGAGCCCATACTCACACATGTGCAGTCACCAGCCCCAAGCTCCAAATAAGGTGTTGTCTCTGATCCGCTGGACAATATTCTGGTTGAAAGTGATCCTTCTATGTCTAAGGCAGAAGACGTCGGTGGTGAAGACCATGTCGCAATTGAAGAAGCTACTTTCAGCGCCCATGTGCAGCTTCGCCGGCTTCAAAGGAAGCTTGAGAGCAATTATGGTCTTGAGGATGAGTCATACGCTTCGAGTGGCCACCAATCTCTTTCAGAGCAGACTTATGCTGCCTTTACTGCCGTACATCCAACTAGATCTGAGTCATCAGAATCTTCACCAGAGTCCTAACTCTCTGTTGATTCTCCGTTGATGGGACTCGCGGTTACTTGCGAAGGAAAATTTTTCAATGTGGCTCCTGAATTGAATAAAGATTTTTACCGGTGTAAGAATCAAATCAATGTTTAGCCCTTTGTGTCAAGTACACCACAGCCGTTGTGATCACTGTATGCTGAGTTTCCCTGAAGCGTCACTCATGCTGTTTTTATCAATATTGGGGAGTACATCTATGCTCAAAATGGAGCTCTTGCTAACTCTCGCACAAAAAGTTGGAGTGTCTGTCTTTTCCCTCGTTGACCTATCACTCACTGTCACAACATTTCTTAGTGAGAACTTCAGCTTCTATGCCTGAGCGACCAATCAATATTCATCCTAAGGTGTTGGTTGAGCATTTTGATGATCCTCAAGAAGATGCTTTGTCTGTGGCCCAGGTTGCTCTCAAGGCGAAGAAGAGTTTACTTAATGCTTCTGGGCCCATGACATCTGGTTGCTCCTGAAATTGGTTGTATCAATGAGAGTTTTACAAAACTTCACGTGAGGGTTACATCTGTAACTCCTGCTTTGATCAATGACTTTTATAAGTGTCCAAACAGGGTTACTTCCAAACTTCTGTTTCTAAAGATACTCTGGCCTCTGTTCTTACTGCCAAAGTGTTGAAAAAAAATGGTCTGGTCCGAAATCTGCTTTTCATGTCTCTAAGTTGGATCAGCTGTATTCGGTCCTGTTCAAGATAGACATTTCGAACTGGTTTCTCACTAACCACAATGCCACTCTCAATCCCACCCAAGCTGAATTTTTATGGTGCATCACTCATGACCATAAAATCAATATTGGTGATTTGATTTTCAATCAGATTGGTGTGTTAGCCAATTCCCGAACCGAGCGTGAGCATCTGCCGTTTCCTTCTATGATCTATCAGCTTCTGATCAAACAAGGCCTGCCCACTCGTGATGCCACTCTGTTGGATCCTCCTGGCCGTCCAATCACTATCCATGGTAAGGTCCTTTCTGAACATTTCGCTGATCTGTCTCCTATCGATCCCTCTGTTGTTCAGATGGCCTCTCGCGCGAAAAAGGATCCCATTGTCTCTGCCTCTATTCCGCCGCCAGTTGATGTGGTCACCAAAGATGAGCTCACTCGTTTTAGGAGTCTATTCAGGCTCAGCTTGCTCAGGGATTTTCGTCTATTCAGGACCAGCTTCTTAAGACTTTGGCACAGTCTGGTCAGAAAGGGGGAGTAGCAACAACTCCAGATGCAACTCCGGATGCCCCAGCAAAAACTTCAATGATGAAGCAGCAGTCCACAACCGCAAGGCAAAGCGTCCAGCAATTCTCATGATAATGATCAGCTCTCCGACTATGATTATTAAGGGAAGTTTCCTTGAAAAACCCTTTTTGTTGTCCTTTTAGGACTGTTATTGTTATGATTATTTTCCTACCTTTTGGATATCACCTTGGTTATCTTTATTTTGTGCCTTGGGCTTGTTTTGGATAACTTTGTGTTGCAGGAAATTTCTCTGTTACAACATCTATGTGTTGCAACTCCTATTGTACTAACAGTATGTGATGCAGGGGGAGTTAATCATTTCTGCAAAGGAGAGAAAATCTCATATGTAGGGGGAGTTCTTGTTAAATATGGATTCTGACCAATCTATGCCAAAGGGGGAGATTGTTGGCGCCATATTTCCGACTATTGAAGATCGAGGAAATCCGCCAAGTTTTGGAATTAAAAGATTGGCAAAGATTTGTTTTCCATATTTATTTTGGAATTTATTAGAGTCCTATTCTTATAAACTTCTATTAGGACTTAGATTTATTTCCATGTATTTCATTCTAGTTAGGTATCTTTTGTACTTATCTAGAATAGAAGTAGAAATCAACTAGGATTCTATTACCTAGTTAAATAGATTTCTTGGGGTTCAAGTTAGGTCTTAGGGCTTATTTTCGTGGCTATATAAGCCTCCAAGACATACAAGAACCGTGTGCATTATTTGGGAGAAAAACCTCTTCATAGCATCGAAGTTTTGCCAAGGCGTTCTGCGGAGCAGGACTGTGCCGTCGTTGCACTGTGCCAACATATACAGATTTGCTGTATAGATCTCAAGGGAGATCAGCCGCGTTTTCTGAAGGGAGTTCAGGCTTGCACTGTGCCAACATATACAGATTTGCTGTATAGATCTCAAGGGAGATCAGCCGCGTTTTCTGAAGGGAGTTCAGGCTTGAAGAAAGTTCAAGGCACGCGGGTGGAGCTGCTGTTGGAAGAAACACGAAGTTCGAGTTGTGTACAAGAACGGCATATTACATAAAGAGGGAGTCTTTAGTGTTTTTAATAAGTCCTATTAATGTACACTGTAAATCTGAACTAGTGAAATCGTGTTTGCAGGTCCACGTGGATGTAGGGCACATTTGTGTCTGAACCACATTAATTTCTTGTGTTCATTTATTTGCTTTAAGTAGTTTATAACTGTGTTAACACAAGAATTATAGTTGTAACTGAATACTGTTTCCACAACTTGACTGTTACAACTTAGGTTAATTGATTTCTATAGGCATATAAATCAACACATATGATATTTCGTTTTCTTTGTTCTGTAATTGCGATTTCTGACATTTATGTATGCATTAGTATTTGGAATTCATGGGAAACAAATACACAGAAAATTACGTACTTCATCGTGGATTGAGTCGAGTCACTGATTAGTTCGTTGTAATACTAAAAGAAAACGTGAAACGTAACCATGATATATTAATGTTTTTTTAAAGAATTTTTTTAACGGTTGTTATATCGAAAAGAGTTTGAATTTAAAGTGCCTTTTGCTCCGATCAAAAGTTTTTTTTTTTATATACAAGGGTTTCTTGGGAACAAACGGAAAGTTTTCGGGCTCATGTGCTCTAGCTCGAATTTTTCAAGCCCTTAAGTTTGAGCTCTGAGTAATTTTCTTTGTTATTCATAAGCGCGAACTAATATTAATTTTTATTTGTATTATAAATAGAACTGAAATGTTAAATGTCGTTTCAGTTTTATCAATGTCGTTTTGACTTCGAGCCTGATTTTGACATATTTCTATTTTGATTTTGGCAAAATTGGAAACACAAAAAACTGTACTGCTTTGGGTTAGCTTTCTAATCCAACTTAAATCCGCTAGATTGGATGCCGTATGACAAAGTTATGCATGAATGAGTCACATTTTGAATTTTAGATGCCTCATTACATCAAAGTTGTGGGCAATATCCATTGATTCATGTATATCTTTCTCGTCCGACATCCAATTTTGGTGATTCAAGTTGGATTAGAAAACTAACTCAGAATACTACAAATTCTATTTTTCTAGTTTTGCAAAATTTGGAATTAAAAATGATCAAAATCACGTTTGAAGTCCTAACGGTATTATTAAAGCTCGAATGACATTTATTATACTATTTATCCATATATATATATATATATATATATATATATATATATATATATATATATATATATATATATATATATATATATATATATATATATATATATATATATATATATATATATATATATATATATATATATATATATATATATATATGAATATATATATATATATATATATATACACATATATATATATATATATATATATGCGCGCTAAATATTTTGTGTGTGTGCGTATATGTGTGAGACATATAGATAGAGATATAGATAGATATATATATATATGTGTCAGCGCGATATATATATATCTCTATAGAGAGATATATCTATATAGAGATATCTCTCTATATATATACACACACATACATGTGTGTACGTGTATGTGTGTCTCTCTATGTGAGAAAAACACACACACACACATATATATATGATATATAGAGATCTTGATTGATACTCTCGCAGACAGTATATACAGCGAGAGAGAGAGTCTACGAGCTATCGCTCTCT